CCTAGAAAGACCCACGTCACTCTACATACACAAACTACAAAGAGTTTTTTCTTGCCAGGTGCGGTGGCTCACGCCTGTAATCCTAGTACTTTGGGAGGTCGATTGTTCAAGCTCAGGAGTTCCAGACCAGCTTGAGCAAGAGCAAGATCTCATCTCTACTAAAAATAGAAAAACTAGCCTGACGCTGGGGCAGGGTCCTGCAGTCCCAGCTACTCAGTAGGTTGAGGCAAGTGGATTACCTGTGCCCAAGAGTTTGAAGTTGCTGTGAGCTCTGATGTCAGGGCACTAGCGGGGGCAACAGAGTCTCTGCCTCAAAAAAAAAATTTTTTTTTCCTCAATCTTGACATCACAAATCATGAAGTACCTGAAAAAATATACAACTGAAATCTAACAAATAACTACCCTCTTCCCCTTTTTTGAATGAAAATCTTCATTCATGATACTCTTTTCTTTATGTAAGAGAGAAATTATACATACTTAAGTTTTCACAATTATTCTACGCATACTGGGAGGGAAATACATTTTGCAGAATGACACTTCTCAGTGGACACAGCCCAAGGGTTGACTTTCGCTCTGTGTCAGGATCGCCAAGAGGAAGTTGACTAACGTGCTAAATGCTTGCTCCTACTTAGAGACACTGGCCCAAGCTGGGTTTCCAGGGAACAGAGAGCTTATATTTAATCTCCTTTCCACCTTTAATACCTCTCCCCATACGCTAACAAAAATTTTTTTGCTACCTTTTATAACATTGACTATATTAGGGGTACTTAATGCAACCTTTTGTATGGGTTCCTTCACCTGAGCCCATACACCCTGAGGGGTGAAGTACAAATGATTTCAAGCAGCATTTCTCAGTGATCAAAATCTACAGGCACAGAAGTGTTGCCCAAGTGATTTGTTTGTCTTGGCCAATCTGCTGTTTCCTAATTCAAACTTCTGCACTTACTGGTTTCTGACTCCTCTCCGTTGTGACTTTGGAGACTTCATGGTAAATGCCCCCCTGAAAACTCAACCTCTTCCTGGCACTAAGCAAACACATCCTTATTAGGACCTGGTGAAAGAGCTCTACGTTTCTGGAAGCCTTTCCCTTTAAATTATTTCTGGTAGAGGTCGGATGTGAGATCTGCCTCTGACTTGCTAAGGGCTATTTTATGATTTATTTCAACCTTTTGCTGGCACTAGGAACAAAAAAAAAGAGCAAACTTGAAAATAAAGGAGAGAAGCAGCTGAGTCCTTCGTGAAATTCCAATAGCGCGCAGCACCCTGACTCTTAACGATGGGTGCATTGTTTAAATTTTTATACTTTTTATTTTTTTCCCCTCAAAAACAAAATTAAACCCATTTATCATTTTTAATTAGAGAATAAGTGCCATCATTTTTTAAAGAGAACAAATTTCAAGCTGTGAGTCTTTTAATGTAGACTGGTCCTTTGAGACTTTTTTGAAGCACTATGGGGAAATTTTAAAGCCAGTCAAATGTTTTTCTTGGGAAGAGTGATGACAGGTCAGGGTGAGATATGGGTGTCATTAAAATTTCATAGAGGTCCCTAACACGCCAGAGTCTCCATAACATTGACACATGGACTATAATATCTCCAAAGAAGCATTTGCTGTCCATCGGGGCTCTGAATGGAGCTGTAATGGTCTATTGATGCAATAATCTGCATGTTAAAAAGTACCTAAGTATTTGCAGGATCTGCTTTGGTCTAGTGGGTTAATAATCCATTTGCTAAAAGTCCAAAATATGTATTCAGAAGATAGATCAGCTTTGGTTCACTGAATCAATAGGAAGTCAGTCTTCACAAAGGCCCCTAAATAGTTTCATAGTTAACATTTCAGCAAGTTCAGAAATGCCACCTGTAGACTCTCATTTCTGTCATTTAAAGTGTGGATTTCTTATCTTTGCTCCAGTGGATGCCGGAAGCTGTGCTTCACTTTGATCCATGATAATTTTGCTTTCAGAAGTCAGAACAAAATTGCCACCGAGCAAACTGCATTAAAGCCAGGAGATATTTAGGAGCAGCCCTCTGGTCCCTCCAATCGCCAATCAGCCTGTCTGCCACCACTGTGCAGGTTCAATGCCCCCGTCACTCTCAGGACTGTACTGTCCTGCTGTCACTTAGCTCCCCTCTGTCAATCTCTGCCCAGAAGCTCTGTCCAGTGATTCTGTTAGAGTCCAAGCATGGTTCTCCTCTGCTCCAGCACGTTCCGATCACGTAGTCACAGCCAAAGGCTCCTCAGGGCATGCCCTGTTTACTCTGATGTCACGTCCTCCCACTCCTCCCCCTCGGCCCATGGGGCTGGAGCACACTGGCCTCATTGCTGGCCCTGGATCACATCAACGGACTCCTGCCTCAGGCCCTCAACTTGCCTCTCCTCTTCCTGACCAGCTCCTTCCACTTGGCGAGATCTCCTACTTTGGTCTCATAGGAAGGGAGCCTTCCCTGCCACCCTGCACATGACAGCAGTCCCCTGCCCCCACGCCACCTCCCTGATCTCCATCGGCACTCACCACCACACAGAACAGAACAGGCCTTTACTTGTCCGTTTATTCTCCACCTCTCTCCACTAGGGCAGGAGCCTCATAATCCGTACTTAGCTAAGCGCCTGGCACATTGTGAGTCCTTGCCAGATACTTATGGCACAAAGGAATGAAACAAATGACAAAGGAGACTTCTGTTTCCGTAATAGTCTGCTGGATAAGTGTACACGTCCAGGCTGAGGAGCAATGAGCATCTCTTTCTGAGCTGAGCCCTCTCTTTGACCATTACACCTCAGTTTTCTGTGAGATTCTCTAACTGGCACAAAACTGGTCCTTGTGAAGATGCTTGCACGTGTTACCCCCAGAACTACAGGGTCATGTGATGGAGGTCTAAGAAGATCTGGGGTCATCTTTGCTGGTTACAGAAACATGCGGTCAGTCTGTTTTTAAGGTGCAGAACATAAAGACAAGATCAGCATTCCTCAGTCTCCACACTGAATGTGGTGTCCACTTCCAGGCTCTGGTGACAACAGACTTCACAATCTCCTCTGATGCAGCCATAAAGGGTGGCATGTACTACTCGGTGTGTGTCCCATAACTGTGTTGGACTGAGGAGCACTTGGCCACAAGCACTGTTCTCTCCTAAATTTCGTAACTTTTCCTTGGAGTGTCCCCCACACACCTCCCCCACCTTCACTGTGCATGTGGCTCTCAAAAGCATCCTTTCTCAGGATTGAAGACTGTCATGGCAACTCCTTCCTTATTTAAATTTCACAGGAACACTCTTTATTTCAATCACTCAGAAGGGGCCTTCAGCAACAGAATTACAGCTGACAGCAAATTAATGAGTCTGATGCTGTGATTAGTTGAGATTACAGGCTGCACAGAGCTTGTCTGAGCATTCACCATGGCCATCAGCCTGCTGCAGCTTCTCCTAAAGACTCACGGTGATCACAAACGGGGATGGGATTCCACCACAGTGAGCCCCACAGAAATGGAAGAAAATTTGTCTGTATTGTAATATTTCAATGACATGCAATTAATTAAAAGTACTTTTACTGTTAGCCTGCTTAGCTTAAATGAGTGTTCCCCGATACCCTCCCCCCAGCACACTGACTTATTTTAATAAAGCTTTAAGGCACTAAATGAAAAGTTGAAGTAATCTAGATAATTCCAGCCCCCAAACCCAAAGTATTCATTAACTAAAAGGAAAACAGTTTAATCTTGAATTATTTAGATAAGTGACTCAATTTTGTAATTTATTTTGCATGAAGAGACAGAACTTAATGGATATCACAGCACATGCCAATACTTGCGTGGATTTATAGAATACAAGGTTTCAATCAACTTAATAGGAGGAGATAAAAAATTAGCATGAACAACAATGACAGAATCATCCACTCTGTTACCAGGTGTTATTGCACAGACGTCCACACTCTGGCATTTGGGCTGCAAAGAAATAATGATTTCTATAATCCCCGGCAATGACTTTTGGTGAGGTGGGGGGAGGTTTCAAATAAATGTCTGTTTGCTTTCGATGAGCTTCCCTGAATCAGCCTTATTTGATTTTAGATCCTCCTAAGGGAAGAGATTTCAGGATTTCCTCGTTGTAGAGCAGAAAAGAACACTTTGCTGAACTTGTATGACATCATCTGTAGCATTAAAAGGGCAGATAATCACGGCTTCTCGGCCTGTTTACCAAAGCTTCTTTACTTCCTCAATCTATTTTATTTCCAAATGTCAGAGGAGGGGGAAACCTTTCTCAGATATACAGACCGCAGAAGCAGAGGAAACATGAGGACAAATTCTTTACCTTTTGTAAAAGCCTTGAACTAATTAGTAGATGGACTTTCTGAACTGTTATATATCACAGTCTAGATTAGTGGTTCTCAGCCTTCCTAATGCCTTGGTCCTTTAATACAGTTCCTGTGGGTTGTGACCCAGAGGTTGAGAACCGCTGGTCTAGACCCTCTAACGTCACGCCAGACAGAGGCTAGAGTATAACAACAAAGGACGTGAGGCCATCTTCATTTCTGGAAGGTTTGTGCAACTGTTCTTTCCAGTAAAGACCTGAGTCACAAAGAGAATGCTGAGTTTGCAAAGAAAATTATAACTAATATAATCGAATTTAGTTTAATCAATTACCATTGGAATACTGCACAATGAATAAAACTAGTGGGCCCAGTTCTGGTTTATAAATATAGTTTCTTTTCTAAATTCCATTAGAAACCCACTTACATCAGAGAAAAAAAAGAAAAAATGTAGAAGCTGTAATATGATTTATAAAAAGCAACAAATAGGTGAGCCATGTTTTTCAGGCTTTAGACTCTCAAAATATTTTCCACTGTTCTGAAAATATTAGAGTCCCACAGCTAAAACAAATAACATTTAAAAGATCTTACCCTAGACAGATAACAGCTAAGAAATGTTTCATAGCAATAAATTAATTTCTTTGTTATGGAAACCCCCTCGACCATAACTTCATGAAGAAATGTGAAGCCGTGTGAAAACCATCTTACCTCATATTCAAAGTCCTCCGTTCTGTCCGCATCAGCAGGCAAGCTGGAGATATACTCATTGTCCTCATAAAATTCATGCTCCATCGGATGAAGAGAATGGCAGCTGGGGGAAGGCAGCAAGATGATAGGAATGGATCAAAAGGGTCCTTTGTAAGATTAAAACAGATTTTCGACTTTCGCTCTAGTTTTCTCTGCTTTGGAAGAAGACCCGTAGTGATCTAGCCTTTCAATGAACTATACAGCTCAGACAGGGTGGGTACTTTTCTTTCTCTGCCTACATGGAGCCTGTCCATTTGCCTTTTCTGAGAGAGACCCAGAGTCAGGGCCCACGGGCAGGGCTGCGTAATGGGGAGACCCACATGAGTCTTCAGCCGTCCATGGGGCTTTAGCGACACTTCCTGGTTGCGCTTCCAGCCTGCTGAGTGGGACCAGCCTCTCGCGTGGGTGTGTGGCGTTTGAGATTGCAGTCTACCCTAAGGGAGTTATTCTGTAACAAAGCATTACCAATTTCATAATTCACAGCCCCAGACTGGTTTTTAAAAGCCATTTTCAAAAGCACATACTCTTCAGACACTACCAGGTACTCATTTTCCCCTATTCCTGAAGACCCTCGATCCCCATTCTGCCTCTCAACCCACACTTTGCCGCTGCCAAAGGTCACGTGCATGAATCACCAAGGGCATTCACGGTGAGAACTCAGGGGGGACTTCTGCAAGCCCCAGTGTCTCACAACACTGTTGGAAAATCTGGGCATTGCACATGTTTTTATATAATCTTTCACTTTCAGAAATATTTTAAATACATTAGAAAGTGTTTTTCGAATTAATATATGCTTTGAAAGAGACTACGCATCCTATCATATAAGGCTAAGTATAGTTTAACAGCAAAGGGCATAAGGCCTTTTTTATCTCTAAAAGTCAATGAAAAACCCTGGGTGCAATTAAACAAGTTGGTTGCAGGTGAAATCTTTAAGCCCTGCCGGTGTGGACATTGTTGAAAAATTGGAGTTAGTTGTATAATTATCTCCTTTCCTGTCTGATGCTCTCCTTCTCTGGCCTATATAAACGCTCTAGCAGCCTTTCCCTCTCCTATCCCTGACAGTGGGCTCCACAGAGGGTTCACTAGTGTGGGCCAAAACGGCAGAAGCAGTCCCGGCAGTCTTGCTTCTATCTGGACTGACTCTGCACGTCCTGTTTGGGCTGGAGAAAGTCAAAGTTTGCTCTTTGGGCATGTGATGTGTTTCCCCTGACTTGCAGTAGCTGGAAGGCAGCCCTGCTGTAAGGAATATCTTATTCACTCGACAAACACTTATTGAATGCCTACCAGATGCTAGGCTCCATGCCAAGTGCTAGAAATATGTTGGTACACAAAATCCAATTCTTGCTCTATTAATTGGGGAAAGCAGCAAAGTGGGAATTTTGATCTAATGCAATAATTAAAGAGAAAATACGGGAGTTATGGCAGCACAGGGTGGGGGTGGAGACACTGCAGCCTCAGGAAAGCTGCTCGGAAGGCTTGGTTCTGAGCTCGGGTCTGCAGGCCTTAGGAAGAGCAGCACAGCACACGGGCTGAGGGAGCTGGGCCAGACCTCCTTGCCCTGAAGGCGGCCTTGGCCTTGCCATTTTCTTGCTGTGTGGCCCAGTCACTACATTGTGTCCTCCTCTGTGATAACATAACGCACCCCCTCACAAGGCAGTGGTGGGGACTGAACATGTCAACAAGTAAAAAGCACTTGGAATAGCATCAAAAACATGTTAATAAAAGCTAACTTAAGAAAATATTTATTAGATGGCAACTGTGTGTCAGGCTATACCAGGGAGAATTACATACAGTAGAACCTCTGTAAGTTGAACCCCCAGGGGACTATAATAAGATGGTCAACATACAGAGGTGGTCAACGTACAGAACCGGGCCTGCTGTCCTGATACGTACATGTGGTGCACGTCTGGTCTATGACAATCAGGTCAACTTAAGGAGGTGGCCAGCTGTGGAGGTTCTGCTGTACTGGTTCACTTGCTCATTGTTCAAGTTCTTCTCTAGAATATAAACTTCCGGAGGGAGTGGCTTTCTTTTTGCTCATGGTTTTAGGCCCAGTCTCTAGTTCCAGTGCCTGACACACCCAGTTTGTCCCTGACACAGAGGTCTGTTTAATAAGCGATGGATGAGTGAGTAGAGTGATAGGTAAGGCAGGCAGCGCCCCTGTCCTCTGGGAACTTGAAGTCTTGAGGAATAGTTTCCAAAACCCGGCTGCACGTTAGAATTGCCTAGGGAGAGCGTTGAAAAATTCTGATGCCTGGGTGTGACTCTAAAAAGTCTTATTTAACTGATCTGAGGTGGGATTCAGGCATCAGTATTGCTTCTCAAAGTTTCTAGATGATTCTAACATACACCTGTGAACAACTGAAGTGGGCTGACAGGAGCCGCTAAAGGGCAGGGAGGTGGCCTGGATCACATGTGTTTTACCAAGTGGAGAATGGGCTGGCGCAGGGGGTGACAATGGAGCTTAAAGAGACTATTGCTCTTATAAATCAAACTCTCAATAATGTTTGAAAACTTACTTAAAAGTTCACAGAACACAATGCATCGGACAAAAAGTACTTCTAAAACTGCACAAGTAGGATTATTTGAATAAAACCTAACTGCCTTTAAATTAGGTAAAAATCAGGAGGAAATACTCCTTGGATAGCTCCTTGTTACAAAGCACTATTCTTACTTTCTGACAGCCAGGACCCTTTGTTTACATCTCAGTGTATTGGCTAATTACTTTCTTTGGAGGATTGCACTTTAATTAAATTAATTTCCCAGCTTCTCTTTTAAAGAGAAGAAGAAGAAGAAGAGGGAGAGAGAGAGAGAGAACCCACAGAGAATACGGTGCCAACAGGCGAGCTCCACATGAGTCTTAATAAGGTTTTTGGCAGCTTTGGTGTGAAAAGCTATTTCCCTGGCCGGTGCTCACGAGTAGCATGAGGCTTTTGATGGCTGGAAATACGAAGATGAACGAATCAGAGCCAGGATTTGTCACTGCACCTCAGCAAGTGTGACTGCACAGGGGAAGCAACGGCAACCGTGGGTCAAGGGAGGGGAGGGAGCAGGAATAGCTGGGAACTAATTGGAAGCAGCCACCACGTAGATATTTTCCAAGTAGGGCAAGGAGCCCGTGTCAGTAACCGGCAACCAGCTCGGGTGACTGATTCTTTCCAACATCTACTTTAAATGGCAAATGGAAACAAACAGGGCTTTGGGAGCAATGACAGAAAAATACCTGTCTGAGAGCAGAAATGGACAGATGTCTGGCACCGGAGGGGTAGGTGGCCGCAGCTTGGCCAGGGCCATGATGTGTTCGAAGGTGATGTCTGTCTGAGTGCTGGCATTCATGAGCTGCACTTCTGGGACGGTTCCATAGGATGGTCTACTGAGAGGCGTTCGCCTTAACACCTGCACCACGATGGGCTCCTTGGCGTTTCGGAAAGCTTCCACTGCCTCTTCATGGGTGGCCTTGGAAAGATCTTTCCCATTGACCTACAGAGACATAATGACTTTGTTCACATCCGAGGAAACAACAGAGTGGTCATCACAGAAGGCGAGGAGGGACACTTTCCACCAGGTCTGATACGAATTTTGTAAAGGAATATTTCATTAGACATTGGCATTTCCTGAACTCTTTACCAATATGAGGACATACAGGAGATCCGAACAACAATGACTTTTGGATCTTTATGAAGTTGCTGGAGTTGATTAACTATCAATAGCAAGACACCAGAATGATTAGTAAAAATTTAAATAACACATCAGCTTCAGAAAATGTTCACCAAGATCTTCAAATAGTTGTAGAAATGTTAAGTACATCTTGATTTAAAAAAAATGATCAATCTCTTGGTGAGAATTTCAATATCTAAATCGGCCTTATTTACCTGAAATCTAATTCTTTAGGATATTGTCAAATTTCCTTCATGTTTGTCATCTTTTTACTCAAGATCATGTTACTGTTCATGAACATTTTCTCATAAATCCTCAGTGTTCAAGGGGTGGTCCAGAGACCAGCATTGGCATCTCGTAAGAGGTTATCAGAAATGCAGCGTCCTGGGGCCACCCTAGACCTACCAAGTCAGAACCGGCATTTTAACAAGATTCCGGCTGATCTATACACTTATTCATACCTCTGAATGAGTACATGATGTCCCGTGGGTCCTCACCTTTTTTAAGTTATACCAACTGATGACTCACCAAGGTAGCCTTGGACATGCAGAAAAAGAGGTTGAAATTTGCCTTTGTCTTGGCTTCTCAGCAAGGGCAGAAACACTGGCATTTGGGCGGAAAACAATGTTCTTTTCATGTGGCTCTCCATGCCTATGCAGTAAAGCCAGGAATGTTCCTCAACTTTTGTGTTACCCCAAACACTCGCATACTTTCCCTAACACCCTCTCAGGGGTCAACACTGAACAGATTTGTTCTCAGATGGTGGTCATTTCATTCTCTCAAAATGAGTCCTGATAACCCAGCCTCTTAGTGGAATTTGTATTTTAATAAAGGCCTCTAGAATTCTGAAATAGCTTCATGGCTCCTGCCCCAAATGAATTAATAATATTGACTTTTGAAAATGTGGAGAGATAGTTGGTGGCACACGACTTTGCCTCATCTCCCTGAAATTATGCCACTTCTAGGAAGCTAACTTAAGCCGCTTGCCTGTTGGTGGGGCACTGATCACTGTTAGGCACCAGCAACCCTTAGAGGTCCCTGGGTGCCTAAAAAGAAGCAAAGGAAGGCACCGAGTAGCAGCTGTAGAACAATTGCTGACATTCAAATGAGCACATTCTCTCTCCCTGAGTAGACAAGGAGTCTGTGTGTGCTCAGAGCCAGTGTATCGCAATTTGGGGTAAACGACACCATGCCAGGTAGAAATCATCATGTCATGTACAGACAGGCTTAATGACCTGCAGGAGCTAATTTACTCAATGGACCCTGAAAGAGTTAATGTGCCTTCAAAAAAATGAGCAATTAAGTTTCTTCACCAGCAAAATATGTCCCAGTTCAGTTCTTGGATCACTAGCAAGAAACCCCAGTTGGAGATTCGACTGGGTACTTACCACTGCGTACACATTCACTAATCTGTGTATACTCTCTCTGAATCTTCTCTGTCCGTGGACACAACTTAAAAAATTATCACTGAATTTTCACCGACACATCTTGGAATGTTTGACTTGGGGCATGTGAGAGTATGTGGACAGGGGACGCTTAGGGGACACTTAAGTTTTCATTCCTTTAGTTTCTGCCAATGACAGGTGCATGGGCCAGGACTACCCCTATCTCTCCCAAAGACATGTAGTCAGTACATCAAAGAAAACCCAGAATGGAAAGCACCACCTCAGCTCTAGCCTCTCAGGCTGAATGGTGTCAACCCCTGTGTTTCATACTGTGGTCAGTATTTATAAATTCCAAATTATGGGTAAGGGTCAAGTGGTGGGTCAGATTGCTCTTTGAGAACTGTCCTTTAGTCATATGAATTGTTAATTATTTAATATCCACTGGAACTATGTCAACATGGTACCTAGAAGCCTTGTATGAAGAGTAACCCCTAACAGTGGTAGAATGAAATAAGATAGTGCCCTTTTTGAAGTAACTTCAAGTGATATCTGAGGGTAAAGGGAAACATCTGTGGCCAGGGTTTCTTCTGGTCACACACAGAGTCCTACTAATCCACAAAGCGTGTCAATAGGTAGCAGACAGACAAATGTCACTGATGTATGTTTTCCCCAAGGTGGCCGGGTACTTTGCCTACCTGTTAATCTGGCCTTAGTGGTCAGTATGTGTGTTTGTTTTCGTGATCTTAAGGGCAAGAATAATTTTTAAAAGGTGAGTTTCCTCCTGACAATGATTATTTATTTTGTATTCCTCTGAGTTAAGATGATTTGCAAAATTCAGAATAGCCTAAAAATTTCTATGGAAACATATTTTTGGCTGGGAAATCATTAGTTCTTATTGTAACTCCTAATATGCAGACAATATTAATGTTCATACAGCAAAATCAATAGCTATTGATTTTAAGACCCGTACATTCATTCATTTACAACCATGATGTTTATATGCAAATTTCATTCTTTGCTCTAAGGACAATTAAACCCAATCTTTTAAAAGGAGAGCCAACGTAGTCTTGGAGATTTTACTTCCCTATTGAGGAATGCTCTTTTCTTCTGGTTATCACGCGCTGACCTCTATTTTCTTAAGCTATTTAATATCTCTCAAAGTAAAGAAGTCTATGACCTTTACAGGCTCTGTGGTCCCACATGAGTCCTTGGAAAATGTAAGCACTGATGACACTAAACACTGTGTTTTTTTTTCCTCACTTCACTTGAAGTTCATCAACAGACTGTTAGCTTACCAAAAGGTCACCATTTTATAAATTATGCCTTTCACAAAAAAAAAAAAAAATAGCTTAATTGGGATTTTCTGGCAGGTGCTTTGCTCAGTTACCAGTTATAGCTAGAGAGAAGCACAATATTGCAAGAATATCTGAAGTTAATCCTGCAGGAACATTTTATACTAAGTTAACAAATAGTAAAACTTTAATTTTTTCTAGGGGTTAGTTCCTAAATCAACAACAAGAATTTTGGTATTTCATGTAGCCATATCCTTAATATTCTATCTCTTTAATGCTATATTCTTTCCCTCTCTCCTCCCCCCTTCCTTACTCCCTCATCCCCTTAGTCTTTCTTCTCTGTCTCAATCTTAAACTTGCTTTTGTGTGGATACCATATAATTTTTATATATTTTGTGTGATGAGCCTGGAAGAGGTAAAAGCCCTTTACGAATGGTGCCCCACTTCAAACAGGTAATTAAGGGTGCAGCTCCAACCTTTTGTGACCCAGTAGAAGGTGGGAAGGTCTTTTGCCAGAAGGGCATAGGGGAGTTGATTTTCAGAAGGAAAAGAAATGGATAAAGAAGGCTAGGAGTGAAATGGAGGGAAGAGATGCAAGGTGATTTGAAGATTAAAAAAGTACTCACTTGTTACGGGATTTGAGTTTGAATTTACATGCAGAAGGGTTCTGAAAAGGATGGTAGATTGACTGCAACATGCTATAGGGAAAGAGACTTTTTTTCTAAAGGGATTGTTAAATGGAATGAGAAGAGGGAAGGGTATCATAAAAAATAGGAGTATTATATGAGATAATTCTATCTATTGCTATAGCATCTGGCATGTTGATAACTGTGGCCCAAACTGATTTGGTTCTATTTCAATGTCTTGACTAGACAACAACTGAAAAGATTCATGTGATTGATATTTGATAAAAGGCTAGCAGTCCCAGAGTGGGGAGACTGGACTCTGAAGTGGTGATTAAGCCACCTGACTCGTGATAAATGAGAAAGCAGATGCAGTAGACAAAAAGACATTACAAGAACACCACAGAAAAGAGGAAAAGAAGATGCCGATGATAGAAATTCCAGGATAAATCGTGACATGAGGTTGTCTTCAGACAAACTAGCATAGGATTGGAAAAGAGTGAAGAGAGTGATCTGAATTATGTAAAACTTTAAAAACTTATACACATTCAGGTGAACTAATAAGTGAGCGTACAATGGGAAAATAAAAGAAAAATTAACCACATAATACTATTTTCTGAAAAGGTCTTCCCCCACCCTTTGTACTTATCAATGTAGTTCTACGCAGACAAATACCCTCAAAAATTAGATATTCAAGAGATGCTTTGTAATAAATGTAAAACACCTTTTATAGATATGAAAAATAAATGTCTTGTTTCTAAAAAGTTATTATTTTCCATTATAGTGATAGCATAATCTTAAGTGGGTAGACAAAAGGAGTCATTTTCCAGCAATCTATGCAAAAGATATGTGAATACATTTGTTGCGGCAGATGGACTAATTAATCCATAGGCAACTTGTGAATGTTAAGTAAAGAATATAGCTTTTCATATGTAAACCGTATCATGGCAATGTTTGATGAAGCTTCTGTTTAAACAAATACCTACCCTTTTGGATAGATGGCAAAATCTGGGCCACTCATCAAGTTTCCCCAGAGTGATTAGTGGCCTCCGCTCAGATAGGAGTTGTTACTCTTTGATTATTCCTCCAAATCCAACCGTGCAAAATTTTCTTGGATATCAGAAAACAAACAGACTCCCTCCCTCTTTTGAAGTGCAAACAAGAGCAGGAATAAACAAGTGACTCTGGTGAGTTGCCATTTCTAGAGTGAGCTGTTTGGGAATGATAAGGTTTGCAAACCGCCTTGCCTCTTCGGACAAATAAGGGCTTCTAAGCCTCTATGCCTTTCCAAGGAGAATAAATATGAGAATACTCAATAAAAGAGGTAGAGATCCAAGCATTATGTACAGTTGACATAGCTCAATTTCACATTGAGAATGACTATGAAGGACTTGTGTATTATCATTCTGGCTGGACATAATATTGCACCTGATAAGTTTACAAAATCTCCCACACTCACAAATAACTATAGCATTAATTTTGACTAAAGTCCCTTAGTGAAGCTAAGGATCAAATTCTCTATT